GCAGAAAGTTTGCCTGCATTTTGATCATGTCCAGAGACTTTGCCTGAAACTGAGGTTAAGGGAGGTAGACTAACTAATCTTGCAGAAGAAATTTAAAGGCAGGCTAATGTTGAGGCAGTGGCATGCCTATGATTGGGGGCTTTCAGTCAGGTTTATGACTGAATTATTTTTGAGAATAAAAGGAGCCCAAAAGAATGATTCAAATCATTGTGATCTTGGCTAGAAAAGAAGTTACAGTAGAGTTGTGGCCTGCAAAGATGGAACAGAGGAAAAAGTGGTTGCTTAAAAGACCAGCTAGAGAAAGACAAGTATGTCATAATAAGACAACAGAAAGATGGCCTGAAGACAGAACAAGAACCAACAGGACTCTAGTCTTTGCAGCCTCAGAATTGCAAAGGTGAAAGAATTTGCTTTGAGAATAGAGCCCCAGAGTATCATCTTCCAGAAGGTCAGTGGCCTAGAGAAGTTATTCCTTGAGATTTGGTTCATAGGCACTTGACCTCTATAGCCAAAAGAGAAGGAAGCCTGGCTACTGATCCAGCTGGTGGCAGACTTTGGCATCATCCAAGTGGTGCTTGTTTTAGGTGCATGCACAGTACAAGAGTTGTGGGGTGAGGAAAGCTTCCATTCAGATTTTAGAAGAAGGCCTGGGAGGCCAGGCAGTGTGCCCCTGAGAGGGTAGTATATGAAGCTGTAGATGTGAAGCCAAAGGTGCAATGGAAGATCCCAGAAGGTTGGAGAAGCCAGGAATAGGGCTCACCTGAGGAAAGCTGCATGGAAGAAGCAAAACCAACCCCAGAGAGAAGCCATGGAGCTGCAACCACCGGAAGTGCCTCAGGGGTGGAACCACTCAAGCCCTTTGGAGCTGATGTCTTGCCACAGATTGCTGGGGATGCTGCACATGGAACTCCAGAACTTCATGTTTACTCTGCTGGATTTTGGACATGGTTTTGATCCATTCCTTTGTATCCCCCTGTTTGTAACTTTTGGAATGGAAATGTCTATCTTGTACCATTGAATGTTGGAAGTATTTAACTTCATTTTCATCTGTACAGGGTTTTGTAGCTAAGAATTTGCCTTAAATCTCACAGGAGACTTGGGACTTGCACTTTTCAGCAATGCTGAAACTGCTAGGATTTTGGCAACTCTTTGAGATGGACTAAATGCCTTTTATGTAAAGGAATGTATGTACATGAGTCTTTGTCGTGGGGGCAGGAGCAGAATGTATTATTTCAGTCTAGATGTCCCCTCAACGACTCATGTAGCCATATGTGGAGCTTTTTCAGGTGCAGCTGAATCTAGAGTGCATGATGCTGGGATTAAGGATGTATGATTACTAAGTCACTACACTGATTGGTTTAGCACTTCCCTAATTCTGCCAGCCTGGTTACAATATAAGGGACAGAAAGAGATTTGTTTTCTCCCTTACTTGCTTGTTTTTGCTGTCTTCTGCTTGCCATGAATTGGTTCTCCCCTGCGGTTCCCCTCTGCCAAGCCACCCTTCTTTGGAGCCAGTTGATTATGGACTGAAACCTCTACAAACTGTGAACTAAATGAACCTGTCCCCTTTTAACTCATGGTGTTGGTTATTTTGTCACAGCAATAACAAAAGTAAGACAGAGTACACACTAAAGTATTGATAAAAACTATAGTATATTAAAATAAAAGCTAGTAAAATATTAATTTATTATCATGATCAACTATTACATATTGTCCATTATTGTATTTGCTACACTTTTATTGGACTGGCAGCACAGTAGGTTGGCCTTCACAAGCATCACCACAAATAAATGAGAGATGTATGACCTCATAGTGGCTATGATTCTATCAATATGCAATAGAAATTTTTCAGTTCCACTGCATTCTTGCAGCACCAACATTGGATATGCAGACTGTCAGTGACCAAGAAATAAGTGTAGGGTGCATGACCATGTTGCCTTTTAACAGCTCATTACATTACAAATTAATTGCTTTCAATACAAAGTTAATAGACATTCCCCAATTGCACAGTTAAATACTTTCCTTTGCACATGTATTAAGTCCTGATAAACACTGTTACAGCTATTTGAACTTGAGGATGTGTTCACCACAAATTTATGTGGCAATGGAGATCTCACTTTGTCTTTCAACTATTGACAGCTTAGAAAGTGCATACAGCAGCTTGACATTAATTGCAGTTCGAACATTAGCCATCAAAGTAATTTTACTCTAGTTAGGGTTCACATGTATAAGTACCATTCACCTTATAATTTTAAGTTGAATTCATTAATAAACACCCTTCAATCTGCAGCAAAGGATAATTTCTATAGCCATTCAATGCTGGCAGTAATGATTTAAGGCATTTTTTTATCTGTCAGCAAACATTCTCAGTCCTCAGCTCACTGATCACTGTTAAACATGTGATAGGAAAACATGTAATATTTGATTTCTAACAAAGATGCATGAAGCTGACAATAGTTAACTCTTCAGTAGTAAATGAAGCTCCGCATTGGCTTTGCTGCTTTAATAACCTATGATAAATTAGCATTTTCTCCCCCATATCTGCTGAAAGATAACTCAGCAAATAAACACAAATTTTAACATTTTTGCATTCTCACAAGATTGTAAATTTATCTAACCCTTTTTCGGTTCACATATGTTGTTACTACTCTCAGCTGCAACACGTCATAGCAGATTCTACTTCATGTTAGATTGAATTAGTGTTTTCTCCACTCCCTTGAGCATCTACTGACCTGCATCTGTTGTGCAAACTGTGGATAGAGGCTGATTCTTTAGTTACTTCAAAGTGTTCAAGCATTAACTCCTTGAGTAACCAACTGAGCAGCATCATAAACATCTGTCACCTCATCAAGAGCCCCAAAACCCACTGCATGTCATCTGCGTTGTTTTTTAATTGACTATTGATGTTGCTCTAAATGTTCTAAACTCTTCAAGCAACACCTCTTGCTGAATTGCTAATAATTTTAAATTTATTTTCTCAGGAAACATTTCTTTGGCTGCTTTGAGCAAGCATGATTTCATTAACTCACCATCACTAAATGGTTTTTCTTGCTTTCTTGGCTAACAAATGAGTCACATGGAAACTATAGTGTCATTGCACAATAGACACAATGTTTGTCCATCTCTTGGAATAGCAAAATAATCTACCCTTCACTGTGCTTTAAAAGCATCATGCAAAGTCCATTCTTCCTTATTTTCTTGTTGTGATGTGATAGCATGAACTGGTAACAAAAAATATTTCCAAATACAGTGATAAACATTGCATTCAAAATGCTGTTGAGTTATAACTAATCCCTATAATTTGTAGTATGTTAAGTATCACCTTATAAGTGATAAAAGTACCAAATGTGGTCTCTATTACATCTACTTCACTCTGCCATGGTAGCATGAAATCACTTACAGAACAAGTAACTATGCAAATAAATGTGTGTGGCTGTCAGCCAAAGAAACCTTACTGACATTACTCTTAAAATTTTCATTTGTCACTAAATACTGTTTTCCTTTTGATTTCTTCCAACTGCTTAAAGATGTAAAAGCCATTCTTTGCTAACAGGTCATACAAATATGGTGACAAACCAGATGTGAAATGACCAGGGCCATGATGTGCTCAACCTCTGATCAATATAATAAAACTCTGGGCCTGAGAGTTTGACTTGAGTCCTCACATAACGGATAATCACTCAGTTTCTAGACCCACACTAGTTCAGAGCAAGGACCAGTTCCCCTTGAGGGGTGAACCTACAATATGGTATATGCTCTAAAGCTTCCCCCTACCCCATCTTCTCTAGAAGGATCCTTAGCCATTTACTAGAGTGACTTTCCCTGGGGAGCAGGTAATAGTTGGACCTTTCAAGGTTCAATTGAAGGTACCATGCAGAAAGCCAAACCTCCAGTTGGAGAAAATATGTGCAACTTTCATGGGTTTTAATTGTGCAAAATTTTAAAGACTCTTACTCTTCCCACATAACAGCAAGGAGCCCACCACAGACCTGAATTTCCCCCATTCCTTCTCCCCTTCCCTCTTCCCTTGGCTGTGGACAGCGCTCACATCAGACTCCACACACTTGCTGGTGTCCCCCGTCAGACTGGTCCCTGTTCACTCTCCTCTCCCTTTCCAGCATCCCTGAGATCACAGTGCTGTCCATTTATAGGGCAGTTGCTAAAACAGCAACTTAAGTGAGACAGAACACTAGCAACCAAGAAATAGATATTTGTGCTCATGTACTTAAGAATAGCCAAACTGAAATGACATCATAGGATAAATCCAGATAAGGCAGTATTTGCCCTGACAAATCACAAGGGCCATTTTTCATGGGTACACTTCCACCTTTGCATCACATTGTTTCTGCCCATACCTATAAACACGGCAAAAATCATCTCCTGCATTTCTGAATCCTTCTTCCCCTCTCCAAGCCTGCCAGGGAATTAGAACTTTTCATTTAGTGACGGGTGTTACCTTTCCCATTTTTCAAAGCCCTAAATGGAAATGCCAGCGATTTAAGTGGTATCTTATCATTTTCAACTCAACAAAAAAATGAAAAACTTCATTAATTTCTTCAAGATATTGTGCCACTTGTATTGAGGCAAAATGATAAAGAAAAAGGGAAAAAAATAAGAAACAGCTACTGTAGCAGGTGCCACTCCACCGCACCTCTGCTGCATCAGTTATTTATCATGACCTTATGCCATTATCTTGTCACCTCTACCTCCACCACCCTTCTGTATTCTAGGAACAGTCAAGGAACCAGACGACCAACCTTCAGAATGCTGATTTATGGCCTGGCTGTTGCCCCCATAGCTGTCTGTGGAATCTACCCCAGGAGTCTTATCGATGACTTGAATAATAATAGTGTTGGTAATGTGCTAAGCTAACTGTCAATGCTGTGAAGGTGAGGTGCTAGCTAAAATCTTTCTATGGAGAAATCAAAGTCAAAAAAGATCTCAACAAGCACACCAAAGAGATTACTGGGGACGCCTTGGTCTAGTACGTAAGATGACATGTGACAAGAATTGGGCCTTTTTGTTGACTGATCATTCATATGATGGCTTTGTCTGTTCTCATCACCATAAGTGCGTGTCAGGAAGCCTTCCAATACATTCTCTGAGCATCCTGTACTGCCTCCTGTTACAGTATTTATCTCATGAGGTTGCAGTTGCCTATCTTCCCTCCCGTACTGTAAGCTGCTTGAGGGCAGAGGCTGTCTTTTCCTGTTCCTTCTTTTCTTTTTTTAACCCGCAAGTCTAGCATAATATACAACCATTGTAAGAACATAACACCAACCATCAAATTGAAGTGGACTACAGCTTTTAACCACAAAATTCACAACTATCTACAATAAGCCCAAATGAAGTTATTTGAAGACGGCAGTACTATTCATATTGTAATAAGGATGGAGTTATATGAGACAGCATAGCAACTAAAGGTGAGTGATCTGGAATTCCAGGCCTAAGTTCAAATCTTGCCTATGGACAATCTGGACCAATTTCCTTAGTTCTTTCTTTATCTCCCTTTCCTCACCCATAAAAAGAGGATGAAATAAGCACCCACTTTATGAAGCTGCTGTGAGAAATAAATGAGGCAGCACATGTACAGTACTTAAAGAGGTCTGATCTAATGTAAGCACTCAGTGTACTTTAATTACACTATCATAATAGTACTATGATGATGATGATGATGATATTAATGATAACTCAAGAATCAGGGGGCTGGGGATCTAGCTCAGCGGCAAAAGCGCCTGCCTGGCAAGCGCAAGGTCGTGAGTTCGGTTCCCGGTACCGGAGAAAAACCAAAACCAAAAAAACCAAAACAAGAATCAGAATTAGAGGACACTGATGGTTGGAAGACAGCCTTTGCAACATAAAAAACAAAGGACTAATATATAGAATATATAGGTAATAATTGTAAAAAACAAAAAAATGAAGAAAAGGTACTGAAGATTTCACTTTAGTAGAAACTCAAATAGCCAACAAACAAATAATTACTAGCTGATTAAAATTTTGGGAGATGTAAAGTAAAATCTATGCGATAATACTCTCACCTGCCAAAGAAGCAAAAATGCAAAGTCTGATGACGTCAAATACTGGCAGGGACCTGGGTGATGGGAAAGCCATGCATAGACTTTGGAGAAAAATGAGAAGGTAATAAAGCTGAATGTGCTCACCTCCAGGCAGCTGGAGGCTGTCAAAGCAGGGGCACCCAAGGGGCTCACTAGCACGGAGATCCCGCTCACAAAAGCCCTTTCCACATCCATTCAACCCAAAAAGGAGATGCCTTCTTCCTTGATTACTTAGGGCAGGCAAAGCCTTTGGGTTTCTGGTCCTTCCCATAGTGTACAGATTTTTGTTAAGAGTGAAACCTTATGTATTAGGATGTTTAAGTACATGACTGAGGTGGGAGGAAACAGTGGTAACTTATATCAGAAATTCTGATCCTGGCCAGGCTTAATGGCACATGTTCGTAATCCCAGCTACTTGAGAGCTGAAACAGGAGGATCACAAGTTCAAGGCCAGCCTGGATGATTTGTCTACATCCTGTCTCAGAATAAAGAGGGCTGTGGGTGTAGTCAGTGGTACAGTGCTCTTGGGTTCAATCCCTAGTACCAGAAGCAGCATATTTGTAACCCTCTTGGTGGTGTGTGTGAGGGGAGGCAGTGGGGGTGTGGGTGTCCATGAGGTCAAATCACAAGTAAAATATTTTAAATACTCTATGTCATTTTAAAAGTATTTAAGCAATGCCTCTGGCTGTTCTCAATATTTATGGCTAGAATGTATGGTTAGCTGGAAAGAAACTACGGCATCAGAATAGCCAAAGGATGTTGGTAACTGATTTGTTTAAATGTATCTGGAATATTTTTTGAGACTACCAAATCTCCCAAAATGAGTTGGATAAAATCCACATACTTTTTCATAATCACCTTCTGATTCAGTGTGTGCTCCTTGACAAGGCAGTTAAAATGCACATTAGAAAATCCTGTCCATAGACACATATTCTAATTGAAATTAATTATTATCTAATTTTATTTATAAAAAGTTATTGCTTCCCAATCTTATGAACAAAAACATAGATATAATTACATGGTTAGATTCAGACTGGTCAGCTTTAGCATTAGGCAGATTTCTTTTCTTTTAAATACCAGGAAAAATTTTATCCTGAATTTAGAAACAGTGATATTATTTATGATATTTATATTTGGCCCTAACTAAATTATCCCCAAAGTAGAACACAAACGATGAATATACACATATACATTTACCACAGAAATACCATTTTATTATATATCTCACTTCAAACATAATTTTGGCTGGATAGTATCTATTTTTATAAATTAGATAATGAAAACAGCACCATGACTCATGTTCTTGTTTTTATAATGAATTAAGAAGCGAATAAATTAATTCCATTAAATCTACATCATTAAAATCTCTTTACAATGTGCATTCTTAAATTTATTTCTCCATAGTTTGGGTAATGTTTAATATTTATTCAATATTAAATGCAAATTAAATTCAAGAAATACTTGATGACATTTCTTAATATTATATTAACATATTTATTAGAATTAAAAGTGAAGTTGAACTATTTTTGTCAAGAAAAAATTTCATTTTGCTGACAAGATTGACAAAAACACTGCTTTGGGAGCATATTTTTATAAAGTAATGAGATAAATCTACAGCTTCAGATTTTAAAGAAAATGTACTTTTAAGCATGTAATGAGACGAACATTTTAACAATAAGAAAATTAACGATATTCCCACTTTTCAGCAGTTACAGATCCTGCCTATGTCCTGCAGCACATCCTGGGCTCACTCGGCATTGAGTGCACCACCCCATCTGAGTCTTTGCTTCCTCGGTGTAAAGAAGACTTGCTCACCCCCTGGTCCTCAGCCTGTGTACACAAGCCTGAATGTAAGGTGTCAATGGCTCAATTCCCAATTCCTTGTTCTGTGGTAGGGCAGTCCTAGGGTGTAGTCTACTGGATACTCAGGAATTGGGATTGGCTTCAAGTGCCCACTGTAGTACCCACTTTTGTTTTGCTTCCTTTTCTCTCTCACTTTCTCACTGCCTCAGTTGTACCTCCTGGGATCACCTCCCGGAAAATCTCTAGAACCCAAGAGCTCATCTTCAAGTTTGCTTTTCAGGGAACACAAACGAAGACACCAATCTGTGCTGAACAAAGTGCTTCTCAGTAAAGGAGCAACAGGTGTAGTTCAGAGCCATCTGGTAACTCTCAGCAAATCCTTCTCGGTGTACCTCACAGATGTCGAGCTTGAATAACTCATCGAAAAGGTGATGTACTTTGGCATGTCAGGTAGATCTCACCACTTTCATATCTTGAAGAAGGACTTAATAGAATTTTTAGCATAGGTAGCAATAAAAATATTGCTGACAATAAATTATTAGGTGGTGTTTGGAACATAACTTGGATGGAATTAAAAGAGTAGGATAAAATTGTTATAACAGATACCTTTCATTTGCATTTGCTCATGGCTATCAATAGTTCTTGCAGCAGTTATTTCTGTGAAAGTAGGGGGAGGGACAAAATCAGTGTGGAAATCTGTCCATTTCTAACATTCACCACTCACCAATGGATGTGTGAACTAATGGAGGATAAACACTGATTCTGTCAGTAAGAGAAGCATTTTCAATAAAAATTTACCTTTTCTATTTAGTAAACTACAAGAAAAGTATAATTTTGCATCCTTGATCCATGTGCAGCAATAATTATAATAACCCAATCGAGATGAAATATTGCGAACATAATCTCACAGTCCTAGGAAATAAAGCATTTTACAAATTCAATTTTTAGTCACTTTTTTTTGTTGGTGAGACATATGATAGGGTATTTTTTTTTTTGTCTTTTTGAGACAGGGTCTTGCTATGCAGTTCAGGCTGGCCTTGAGCTCACTTTGTAGCCCAGACTAGTCTTGAACTCACAGTGATCCTCCTGCCTCAGCCCCCTGAGTGCTGGGATTACAGGCATGCACCACCATGCCCAGTTCATGATAGTGTATTCAAAAAAGACTTTCTATATAAAATATATTACATTAAGATAAAATTCTGTTGGGGAATTTAAATTAAAAGAAAAAAAAATACAGGTATACAATTTCCATAGGAGATTATGCATGCATTCTTATAAGGATGATTATGGATTATGACTATTAAGTCAAACTGTCATATTTATATTCTTCTGTGTACACTAAGAGGGCGATGTAACAATTTTATCTTAAAACACCAATATCTACAAAATGCCAGATATAAGCCCACAAATTTGTATAAAACATTATGATAAAAACTTAAAACTTCCACTTTGCATAATGTTTTAAAATTCCTATCATAAAATATTGACAAAATCACCAAAAAGAAAAAGTAAATGGCAGAGGGATGGCAGTACAAACAACACCCACTGCAGAGCACATCCAACTCGGTGACCAAAGTCAGCATCAGCAGTCAAGTTGATACACGCATCCTCGGTAGACGCTTGACTTCTGTGATTTCCTCCCCAAACCCGTGATCCAGGTCTTATCATGAGGAAAACAACAGACAAACCCAAACTGAGGGACTATCTACAAAACACCTGACCAGCACATGTCCAAGCTGTCAAAAGTCATGAAAAATAAGGAAAATCTGAAAAACTATAGGAGCTAAAAGGACACTAAGGAAACGTGGTGACTAAGTGTGATCCTTCAACAGAAAGAGAGATTAGTTAAAAATTAAGGGCATTTGAATAAAGTGTCAGGTTAGTCAACAATAATGAAGCAATATTACTTTGATAATTTCCACAAAAATCTCAAAAGGTGAATGGGGAGGGGAAGGGACGTTATATACACATAGAACTATCCACAATGAATGTAATCATTATCCACTATAAATATGTACTAAGAACTTTTTTGAATGATAGTCCAGGGCTGGGGAGATAGCTCAACAGCACAAGTGCCTGCCTAGCAAGCGCAAGGTCCTGAGTTGGATTCCCAGTACCCAAATAAAATAAAATAAAATAAAATAAAATAAAAGATAGTCCAGCCATCCTAATCGGAAAAAAGAAATCTCATACGAATGTGAAGACAGCAGAAGTTGGATACCAAATAAATAGGAGCCTTTTGTTCTGTCTTAGAAATTTTTCTGTAATTCTAAAACTGTTCTAAAATTAAAAGTTTACTTAAAAATAACATAAGAAACAATGACCTAAAATAAGTAATGCAATTTGTAATTATATTGCAGTTGTTAGATATGCTGTCCTCTAAATCCAATTGTAAACTCTTTATCTGTGTGTCCTTACAGAATAAATGCTTGTACTTTGCATCCTGGCCATTGTAGGATAGACTAAAAGCAGGCAAAGGGACAGAAATTGTGTGTGGATTTAGAGTATCTAGTCAGTTGCAGTGGATAATCTAATTATGTGGATTTGGGTTTTGTTTTTTTAATATAGGAAAGCGAGATAATATAGTAGGATGTTGTAGAAAAAATTAAATTACAGTGGACGCAATAACATTTTCCCAAATTTGAGCTGGTAATATGTGTTTTACAGAGGTAAAGAGATGAATATAAAAATATTTTATGACAACAGAAAGAGTAGCTTCTTCAATTTACTGGTAGCAGTTATGTATAAGTTAAATAATAAATAACTGAGTAAATACAATGCTTTTGCTAATAACACATTAGCTCTTACTGTACTTTTTCTGTGTGTGTGTGTGTGTGTGTGTGTGTGTGTGTGTGTGTGTGACTGGAGGTTGAATGCAGGACCTTTGCACTGAGCTATGTACCCAACCAGCCCCTTTAGAGACAGGGTGTCTCTGAGTCAGTAAGTCCCCAGGCTGCGCTGGGCCTTGTGGTCTTCCTCCTTAGACTCCCAGACTTCTGGGATTGCAAGTTTATAGCACTGCACCTTTTCCTGTACTGTATGTTAAAACTACAGAAATAGCTGTAGAAAGAGAGTCACTCAACCATTCTTTCCTGCATGTGCTACCAACTGTTCCCTATCACAAGAGGCCCTGGCCTCTCTCCTTCATGACCCCTGCTGTTCCTCTCCTGGGCATCTCCCTCAGTTGTTGAGCTCTTGCTTATCCCATAAGGCTTTGCTTGACCTCCCAAAAGCTCCATTCCAAAGTCTTATGAGTTTTGAGAATAATATTTTACCTTCATGCTGAAAATTATAAAACATTTTTTAAAATTTATTTTAAAAATAAAAGAAGGAAAACATATTAACAAACAGACATCCAGTTACAAAATAGCATAAGAATACAAGCAATACTGAATTGCAGACAAAGTGGTAGGAAATTAACAATCGTTGTTGTATTACATATTGATATCTTCAAAATGGTTTCTCAGGATACAGAACATTTTTATATATTTGATCTCATTAGACTGTTATAGAAATGAATACTGTGAAATCTTGAAGTACTCCTTTCATAGCTAGGATGGCATGGCTGGGTGATATGGTAGGGGTATATTTTACCTACACAAGTATTTATACCGCTTTATGTTTCCAGCAATGGTATGAGAGTTATGGTTCTCTTACAACCTTTTTAATGTATAATAAGCCTTTTAAAATTTTAGCATTTCTAAGAGGCATAAAGCTGCATCTCTTTATAATATTTCCCTAATGACTAATGTGTTCAATATCCATTCATGTGCTTATTTGCTATCCATAGATATTCTTTGCAGAAACATTGTCTAACTGTTTTTTTTTATTTTAAAGAGAGTAATAAATGAGAAGCAAACAAACAATAGAATAGTAGCAGCATACCAGTACCACAAACATAAACAAATCAAAGAAAGAACATTCAAAGTGGTACAGTCTCAAGACAAAATAATACAAATCAATAGTGGTTGTTACATTACATATCACTATCCTCAACTACATTGCTCAGATTACCACATGTAAGAATGAAAGATTGTTTAAACCATTAAAGAGAATAAGAAAATAATTCTTCGATAAAACATTAGAGATAATACAGAGTTTCACTAGACAAGATGGTAGGAGTTCACATTGTAATTCCATTGCATATTGTTACCTTCAGATCAGTTGCTCAGACCACCAGACACAAGCATGCAAAGTCAATCAGAACATAAAAAATTGTAATCATTAGCTGTTCATCTCAGTACATCATCAGATGTCAGCAATACAGTTATCGCAGCTATTTGTATATATATTTATATTTTGCATTCCTTCTTTCTTTTTTCTTCTTTCCCTTATTGCAGTCGTTCCTTCCTTGAGCAATTTCTTTCCCTTTCCTATCATCTACTGTATGTTTTGAGTTTTACCTAGTCTTTCAGGTTCCTACACCAAGGAGACAATATGATGTTTACCCATCTGGATCTGATTTATTTCCCTTATGAGTGTGGTCTCCAGTTGCATCCATTTACCTACAAAAGCCTCAAGTTTATCTTTTTTGATAGCTGAGTAATACTCCATTGTATAAAATACCACAACTTTTTTATCCATTCCTCAGATGGATGGGCATCTTGCTTGTTTCCAAGAATTACCTATAAAAATTATGCTGCTATAAACATGGGTGCACATATATCGTTGTGGTATGATGTCTTTAATTCTTCTGGCAAAATACTGAGAAGGGGAATAGCTGGGTTAAATGGGACTTCCAATCTTAGTTCTGTGAGGAATCTCCAAACTGATTTCCACAGTGGTTTCACCAATCTACACTCCCACCAGCAGTGGAATAGGGTTCCTTTCTCCCCACAGCCTCTCCAGCATTTGTTATTGG